CGAAGCTGAAAAAAGTAACGACTGTTGTCACTAAAATGCTATTGCAATGTCCAATAGTAGATAAATAAACGCATAAATTTAGTTGTGAGGTAAATGATGTTGAGATTCAAAAAATGTCATACTGCACTTTGTATTGTCAAAACACCAAAAATGTGAACTATAAATGTTCAGCAATCAATCTTTTCGTGAGTATTTCAGTCAGCTTAGTACAACGTTTGTTGCCTGGTTGTATGCTGGTTTGTTCTTTGCCTGTACAGAAAGTCAGGCAAGGGATTCTTGAAAAAAAAAAATTTCACAACAAACTATAGGACCCCATTTCAGTGGGGGGGGGGGGGGGGGGGGGGGTTAAGCCATGAAAATTAATTGATTTATGTCTGAATGTCTTGCTGACTGATTTGTCTTGTGAACCTGTGATAAAATTACTATGGAAATGATTTGTCTGAGAAGAGCTGTAGGAGTGACCAGACAATATTAAAATTAGGACATAAGAGTTGGCACAGAACCAATCCTTAATTACATACAAAGACAGCGAATTAAATGGTTTGCCACCAAGCAGTCGAATCCTACGACATGCTTGTTGGGGAGGCTGTGGGTCTATTCTCCACCCCCCCCCCCACCCACGCACACACACACAAAGGGGTCCCGGAACACACATAGGAAATGCTGGTACCAGTAGCGCCTCAAGCTTGCTAAAAGATAAACACTGCAAGAGACTAGATCATCACAACAGAAGCACAAATATATTTTTACAATTTACACTATATGTGTATAACCAGAAATATGTCAGTGTATGGGCATATTTGATCATACAAAGATGATTTACATACACAACTTAAAAATAAAGTAACAGCAGCCAAGAATACATTGATATATTGTAAATTTATCAGCAAATACAACTCCATCAGCTATGCATCTTAACCGTCCCTCTTGACAAATACAACTCTATCCACTTTGTCTTCATATCTCAAATCAACAAATGCAACTCTGTTCGCTAGGTCTTCATAACTCAAATCAACAAATGCAACTCAATCCACTATATTTTCATACCTTGAATCAACAAATGAAACTATCCATTATGTCTTCGTACCTCAAATAAACAAATGCCACTATATCAACTGTGTCTTCATACCTCAGATCAATAAATGCAACTATATCCACTGTATCTTCCTACCTCAATAAAAAAAAAAAAGCAACTCCATCCACTATGTCTTCACTGCCCATATAAACAAATACAACTGCATTCCCTCAACATGAAATGATTATGTCAGTAAAACTAACATGTAAATTAATACTGATTTGTGTTGCCAACAGAAGTGTTTGAATCCAATATTTCTATACTTCAGCTTGATTTTTCTTTTTGTTAGGGGCAAAAATAGAAATAATGATCTGCACAGTCCATGGTAACTACACTAGCAATGCAGTCTAAGATCCTCTGGCTGACAACTCCTCTGCCCCACACTGCCCTAAAAGTCTTATCCCCAAGGTTTTCATTACTTTTAGAATCATAACAGGTGGGATGAAATCAACACCTATAGCTGTAATGGAGAAGATGGCGATGACTCAAACACTGACAGAACGAAGAGACACTAAGATTCTAATGCAAGCAGAAAAGTTTCTTAGCATGCCTGAATACCCTATGAAAGAAAGATTCCTAAATCTAGCAATGGGACAACTAAAAAGAAGCAGTTTCATCCACCAGGCCCAACAACTCTGCAGGCAAACCATTGATCTGCCTGCAACTGATAGCCCCTTAAATGCTATTCCAGATCGGTCCCCTTGGAAAGAGGATTATAAGTTGCCAATACACATACAGACAGAAGGCAAAAGATTATTCGACAAGGAAGAACAAAACAGTGTGCAAAGTAAAACAACCACCCTCGCTCTACTTTATGAGGAATACCCAAATAATTTTTGGGTTCGTGTCTATACCGATGGGTTAGCACAAAATGAAAGCAGAAATGGAGGAGCAGGAGTGTATATTGATCATCCAAATAATACCAGATATACAGCCGAAATATCTACAGGGAAGCACTGTCACAACTATGATGTAGAAGTTTAAGCCATCAAGATAACAGCATAAAAGCTATTAAATATTCGTCATATTTCACAACCCGTGGTATTTCTGACAGATGCAAGAGCGGTGCTTCAGGCACTCTGATCTGGAAAACTACCTGATATATGAACACTACTCTCCAAACTAGGCAGCCGGTGTAAGTGAACTATGCAATGGATACCATCCCCCTGTGGAGATGCTGGAAATGAAAGAGCTGATATACTAGCTAAGGAAGGTGCAAATGAAGAAAAAACCACCAAAACCGGCATATGACGATTACCATGGTATGGACAGACCAGAGCGTTATTACTCTACGCCTTAGAACAGGACACAACCGACTTCGCAGCCACATGTACACAAAATTTAAAATCGGCGAATCAGCCATGTGCACATGTGGATTGGCACCTGAGACAACAGATCACGTCCTCCAAAACTGTCACAGATACAACATATCAAGGCAAAACTTTTGGCCAAGAGGGGGTTGGTCCTGCAATGTCCTGTTAAGGATACTCAACTAACTTCTCGATCTTGAACTAATCAAGATGGCTTGTACATTTCTTCTTCATGCTGTGTGGCGTCGGTAGTCATGTGTATCCACAACTTTCTGTCTTATGTACTTTCAGTCACTTTTGACAGATGATCTTCCATGCCATGATGTCAAACTATCTAGTATCTACTTTCTCTGCCTCCCTCTGTCTCCACATTTCCCACCATCATGACATACTCCAAGATTATGCTTCCCATGACATGACCAAAGAATGTCTTCTTCTGATGTGGACAATCAGTTCTATTTGGGAGCTAATTTCTCTCAAGACATTTTCATTACTCTTGTGTTTTATCTGTTCAACGTGTTCTCAACAATCATCTATAAATTCACATCTCTGTCACTTCCACATCATTTTTCACTAATTGGCAAATTCACATTTATAAAGCAGTTATTACTGGCTTGGAGGAAATATAATACTGAGATTTTACAAAAAAAATATATGGCTGAAAAACAAACCAGATTTTCTGTGATATTTAAACCAAGTACAAGCTTTTCAGTGACAAAACTAGTCAGAGACAGAAAATACAATCAGAGAAAGCAATTTATCTATATCCTCTTCCTGTCACTGCTGACACATAAGGTATTCATATGTTGCTGGTCTGCTTCTTTTCTGGCCATGTTATCCCATACCAGTTTACCCTCAATTTCCCTGTCTAGAGGCACCAAACATTTATTACGTGTAAACCAGCAGTAAGAAGCTAGAGAAAACACAAATTTCTTATAAATCAGCACTTACGACTGCTGTATACAAACATGTCATATAAACAGTTAAGTCTACATGACAATATAGGTCTCCATACAGAACTATGCCATTTGGACTAGATAAAAAAAAAAAACATTTCTCATGTGTTCAAATCAGCAATGAGACCAGATTAATAAAGTGTTCATGCCTACAGTGATAAAATCAACAAACTAAAGTACGCACATTTTTCCTGCATATAAATCAATAGTTACATTACAGTAAATCAATGTTCTATGTGTACAAATCTGCATGTTCTACGTGTACAAATCTGCGGTCAGACTTGTTAAATTGGTTACATTTACATGAAACAAATGAAAATAAAATGATTCGACTACCAAATATGTACATTTGTCATTAGCTATTAATATGTGTTTGCTGACTGTGACATAATCAGATTCGACATGTCAAACCTGTTAAAAAGGCGGAATACAGTCAAACCCGTTTTTAAAAACTGGAATAGAATCAAACACATTTCTAGTAATTCTTGTTCACAAATGTGACCGCCAAATTGTTCAAAAAATGCAACTCAAAATTGTCCACTTAATGCTTCAGCATTTTTTTTAGCATTCTCAGCCCTTGAGGTTAAATGCTGTGGATAATTACTGAAAGTGACCCAGCAAACCTTGGGCACTGAATGTGACACAGTCAAACTTGTGCACTAAATATGACACAGTCAAACTTGTGCACTGTGAGCCAGTCAATCCTGCTGACCAAATGTGATTTGATCTTCTTCGCTGCTTCTTCTACTCCTTTGTGTTCACTTGTCATAAACTCTGGTGGAAAGTTCTGGTTGTTTGCCCACTTCTGAACTTTGGTGTCATTCCAGAACTTGACTTTTGCATGCACATCTGTTTTACAGACCTATCTTACTTTGTGTGCAAACTGTTGGTTTCTCACCTTTCAGGCAGATGCACTACGACTTTAAAGGAAAATTATATGATTAAGCTTAAGTAAATTTGACATGATTAAATTTGTTCAATGAAAGCTATTCAGTTCCATATGATCACTGAATATTAATCAGTAAATCTAAACTCTTTCAGGATCAGGGAACCATCAGACTATTTAAACTTGTTGCCAAGTATTCACAACAGACCATTTAAACTTGTTGTCAAGTATTCACAACAGACCATTTAAACTTGTTGTCAAGTATTCACAACAGACCATTTAAACTTGTTGTCAAGTATTCACAACAGACCATTTAAACTTGTTGGCAAGTATTCACAACAGACCATTTAAACTTGTTGTCAAGTATTCACAACAGACCATTTAAACTTGTTGGCAAGTATTCACAACAGACCATTTAAACTTGTTGTCAAGTATTCACAACAGACCATTTAAACTTGTTGTCAAGTATTCACAACAGACCATTTAAACTTTGTTGTCAAGTATTCACAACAGACCATTTAAACTTGTTGTCAAGTATTCACAACAGACCATTTAAACTTGTTGTCAAGTATTCACAACAGACCATTTAAACTTGTTGTCAAGTATTCACAACAGACCATTTAAACTTGTTGTCAAGTATTCACAACAGACCATTTAAACTTGTTGTCAAGTATTCACAACAGACCATTTAAACTTGTATGCAGAGAAGACAATGATCTTGACCACAGAAGTAATTTTATGAGAAATCCATGACTAGATTAACCTTGGCCACATTAAATACGGAAACTTTCGGATCTTCCATCTATATGGCTCAGACGAAGATAGACATCTGTGCCGATGCCCTCCAGTGTTTCCAGTGTCAAGGATCCGCCCAGATACTTGGCATATGCATGAGATGTCGGAAGTCCAAATCCATACCTGGTAAATGACATGAAACAGTAATGCTAAGAGTGCATTTGTGGATATGAATTACTGCATGGAATAATTAGTCATGATCTATTATTTAACCAAAGGAAAACACTTCCAAATGGTAACCTTTTGACTCTTTCTGGCAACTGTCTCCTGGGACCACTCTTGCCTCACTCAGTGTCTCCTGGAATTACTCTTTTCTCACTCAGTGTCTCCTGGGACCACTCTTGCCTCACTCAATGTCTTCATCTGCCTCTTCGACCCCATATTTGACCTCCCTTTCTCAAACTGCTATGCAGTTTCATCCAAAACCCACGTCTGAAAATGTCTCAGTGTTATTAAATGCCTCTCCCACTCTCAAATCTGAACTTTATTTATCACAATGCTATATAATTTGCACCCACATATGGCTTTCCTTCTCATAGTAATATTAACTGCCCTTGCAGATATTACTACCCCAGCCTCACAGAGACGTGTAATTGCCTATATATTTATTATTCACTCCCAGTTCACATCTTTTCAACGTCTCCCAAATTTTATTTGTCTGGGTTCGCTCTTATTAAATGGCAGTGGCCATGTTTTTCTGTGATGTATATGTCCCTTGACCCAGCAAATCCGAATTCAGCAAAGCTATAATTACTGGCCTTTGATGGCATGAATGTTGGAGAGAGGGGGCACAACTGGTCTACTCCACACCCCCCCCCCCACACCCTCAAAGGGGCCCTGGCTACCACACAGGGAGTCTCTCCTCTTATGTTGGCCCTTATATTTCTGACCAAAACAAAGAATATGAATTTTCTTATCTGATACTATCATTCAAAGAATCCAAATTTAAATATATATTTTATTTAACTATAGCATGACAACCATCCTTTTTAAAAGGAAGAAGAAGAACCAATAAAAAAAAGCAAGCAATGGCAAACTACAACATAAAATTGCAGAGAAAAACTATGAGCAGCTAACAAATGTTGGGGATGGTTTGTCACTCCCTATAAAGGATATACAACTCTAACATTGCATAACAAACAGAAGGAAACAATCTACATTCTTTGGTCATGTAATGAGAAGGGGGGAACTGGAGTACATCATGATGATGGAAAAGATGCAGGGGAAATGAAGGAGGAGGAAACACTTTGACATCGTGGAAGACCATCTGTGTCAGAATTGACTGAAACATAATGTTTTGGATGGACATGACTATGAACGCCAAAAGGCACGAACTATAAGAAAAATAAAGAACAAACACAGAAACAAGTATATTATCTCACCCATGCATTTTTCCAGGTGCAGGTCCTGTGTTATCAGTGTCCATCATCTGTCCAAATATTCCCCGATCCACACGGTCATCCAGCATAGAACCACTTGTAGTGAAGTTGTAGTCAAACACTTGGTGGATTATCTTGGCTGGAATACCACCTCCTCTGTCTGAAATTCTGTAAAAAGAGACAAACTGGCAACAATAAGTTAGATCAGGGCTATTCAACTGATGGCCTCAGATTGAATCCAGCATGACACCTAGCAAGTAGCCCACGGCTGACGCCTAGCAAGTGGCCCCCACTGCTGATGCCTAACAAGTGGCCCCCACGGCTGACGCCTAACAAGTGGCCCCCACAACCGACGCCTAACAAGAGGCCCCCACGGCTGACCCCTAGCAAGTGGCCCCCATGGCTGACCCCTGGCAAGTAGCCTCCACGGCTGATGCCTAACAAGTGGCCCCCATGGCTGACGCGTAACAAGTGGCTCCATGGCTGACGCCTAATAAGAGACCCCCACGGCTGACCCCTAGCAAGTGGCCCCCATGGCTGACCCCTGGCAAGTAGCCTCCACGGCTGATGCCTAACAAGTGGCCCCCATGGCTGACGCCTAACAAGTGGCCCATGGATCACTGCCAGTTGTATTTGCATTAATTATATTTCTATGTTGGGGCTCGTGCCTCTGGTTTGTGACGATCCTCATTTTAAACATGTTGGCCCCTGAGTAGACTAGCTGAATAGCCCAGAGTTATACAATAGTTCTTCTTTGTTCATCAGCTGGAAGCTCCAGCAGAAAGTTCTGGCTAATCATCCATTTTAACCTTGGCTTTGAGCCATGGCCTGAGTTTTGAGAGTACCTCCGTTTTACTGGCTTATTTGTGTTCAGTTAGCTGTTCCTTGCCGCTCTGGCAGATGCACTCCTGTTACAGGGACACTATGTGATGACCCTGCTTTGCATGGTCTCCACGATTACATTGTGGCAAGCAGAAAGTCCGTGCTATAGTGACAGCACGAGATATTTGTGGCTAGTCGAGTAAGCGAGGGAAAGCCTGAGCTAGCCTTGTGGTCAGTTGATCAACAGAAGTCGTGGAAGACGGTTGCATTTTAGTTGAAGATGTAGTCTTTATGTCGTGCAATTGACTAGTGTTTGAATATGTCGCGAGCGATAGAAATATGAATAATTGTTGAAACATGTGGAATAAATGTAACTGAATAAACTGACAGCATGTACAAAGGAGCCGAGAGGCGTTTGTGTTTCAGTCGACGTTAGAGCAGTGCAAGTTAAGTTGTAGTAATCATAGAGAGTGAACGATGGCGAAAGCAGATATGCCGTGTGTCAAGGTGCATGACGAGTGACATCGGCCTAAACAAGGTTCATTCCAAGTCAAGCCAAGGTTCATTTCACACTTAGCCAATTGCACATAATTAAACATCACAAATTATCATCACGCTCATGCAGCCTTCACTTTTGCTTCTAGAAGCTTCCCACAGAATTTGGTGGTAGCAAAACAGTGCAGTGCTAAAAGGGTTACATGTCAACAAATCCATGGTGACCTTGGCTTTGGTTTCTAGAAACTTCCAGGGAGTTAGTTAGAATTATAATATGACCCTGCCTTCCAGTGCATGTAAACACTGTTGACAACGTTTTCTACATTTTATGGCGGCCATATTTCTGGAATGCAATAACTACGTGCAAAAAAAATGCTGCAAGATTCTGGAAACAACCTAATGTTGCCTATGTAAGCGAGTGCTTGGACCACTTCGGACATCGGCGACCGGTTCGTCCATTGGCTGGCTGGTAGACGACTTCGTTGCGGGCCAGGACAGAATTTCGGTCCGTCTTCTTTGATCGCATCAACACTGCAAGAGTTCTACTTGGTGCTGAGCTATGTTAAGCCATTTTATATGGCGCACATAACCTAGTCACAATTATAACCTAAAGTTCCACCTTCGAGGATGCTGGTCAAAGATTTTTTTTTCACAAAGCAAGCCAAGCCACTCAGGGGGCTAAGCTTAAAAGAGTTAGAGATTGAGATTTGGCTAGGCTAAGACCTAGAGGAGTGACTCTTAACCTTCCTAATGCATCAACCCTTTAATACAGTTCCTCATGTTGTGGTGACCCCCAAGCTTACAATTATTTTCATTGCTATTTCGTAACTACAGTGAATATGTATCTTCCGCTGGTCTTTGGTGACCCCTGTAAAAGAGTCATTTGACCCACAAAAGGGTCGCTCGCACCCACAGCTTGAGAACCACTGACCTAGAGAGTCCAGAGGAACTTGGGGGATACTCTCTAGAGATGTCCTAAAGACCCCTAATTAGAAAAGATAAGAGATGTTAAGCTGAACCAATTCTCGCAATCTGATAAAATAGCAGAGGAGAAATTGTAAGAATTTGTTAACGTACATTTTTTGACGAATAGCTATTGAAAGTGACAAAGCCTATCATCATCATCAGGTGCCTTGCCCACTGGCGTGGGCGATCATACCTCTCCATAATCCGCGTTCTCCTGCAGCATGTATCAGTTCGTGTGCCGACACACCTCCATGCCATGCAACAAGACTGTCAAGCATCTTCTCTCGTTGTCTTCCTCTATCCCTCCTTCCACAGATCTTTCCAGTGGTCACAACATGTTCTATTTTCCCTCTTCTCATAACATGGCCGAAAAATGATGACTGTCTCCTTCTGATGTCAGTGATAAGTTGTCTTCGGTCTCCCGCCTCTTTTAAAACCTCTTGGTTGCTCTTTTTGGCTGTCCAAGGTATTCTAAGCATTCTTCTGTAAAACCACATCTCTGAGGCCTCTAAAAATTGTTTGGCCTGCCTACCGATTGTCCAGGATTCACATCCATATGTTAAAACTGGATGTATGTAGCAAGCAAGAATTCTTTTTCTAACTCTCAATGACAAGGATATATTGCACAAGATGTTTTTCATTTTATAAAATGCAGTTTTTGCCTGTCCAATTCTGTTTCTTATTTCAGTTATGCATCTTCCATCTGATGTTATCCATGTGCCCAGATACTTAAATTTCTGTACTTGTCTTAAAATAACACCATTGACTTTTATTACACATTTAGGAATAATTTGTTTCTTTGATACCACCATTACTTCTGTCTTCCCATTATTCAAACTGAGGCCCATTCTTCCACTTTCTAACACCACAATGTCTATCATTTCCTGTAATTCTTTCTGACTTGTTGCTATCAAGACTGTGTCATCAGCATAACGTAAATTGTTTATATTGTGCCCACCAACCACGATTCCGGGCATATCAATTAAAGATCTCATAATATATTCACTGTATATTGAAAACAAATCAGGTGAAAGTACACATCCTTGTCGTACGCCCCTCTTTATGCTTTGAAATGTACCTAAACAGTTGTTAATTCTTATAGCTGCTGTTTGCTGCCAATACATATTCTTTATTATTCTTAGATCTTTCCCATCAATGTTTAATTTTTCTAACAGTTTGATTACTTCTTCATGCTTCACACAGTCAAATGCTTTTGTATAGTCTATGAAGCATAAGTACAAATCAGTCTTTACTTCTATAGCTCTTTCTGACAAAGCCTATATAAAAACAAAATTGAAAAGTATAAATTGTAGTCTTGGGATGTATGTGATTGTCAGTTTGTTGCATCAAGTTGGTGTTTATATTGTCAAATTGGCTATCCTCCAAAAAATGGGCACAAAAGATGGTGGTCAAAAACAGGGCCTCAGTCACGTGTAAATTGCGCACTTCCGGCGACTTAATTTGCGGTTTTTCTGGCAACTACCTCCGCCGTTGAGAGTGTCCCCCACGCCGCTCATGCGGCGTGGATTGGGGCTAACCTAGATGGCTAGGACTCACGAGCAAAGCTGCAGGAGATGCGGAAGCTGCTGCTCGTGAGTCCCAGCCATCTAGTTTAGCCCCAATTCACGCTGCATGAGCGGCGTGGGGGACACTCTCGGCGGTGGCGGTAGTTGCCGGAAAACCGCAAATTAAGTCGCCAGAAGTGCACAATTGACACGTGACTGAGGCTCTGTTAGGGTGTTTTTGCTGCCGCCATCTTTTGTGCCCGTTATTCGGAGGATAGCCGTCTAATTTATTTTTGAGGATGAAAACAAAAATGTCTTATTGCTTGTGATGATGTAGATACATGGTTTCCGGATCGAATCTGAACAAGAAGAAGAAAATGCCCACTAAACAACTGCACCTACACATTGCTGTGATGATTAAATACTGGCCATGAAACACAGACTCTGTTTCACTCCAATTTCAAAGGAAGTCCACAATAAGTCAACTCCTACAACATGCTTGTTTGGGGAGGCTGTGGAACTATTCTTGTTCTCCCCACAATAGGGCCCCTAACCCACATGGGGAATACAATAGTTCATAACCCCAACATAGCCCAAACATTCTAGATTCTACCTCTCTTCCCCCATGTACCACATCAAAGTGTTGTGGCAAGATTCAAGAGATCATCTGGGTACTTTTTTAACTGCATAAGTTGATAGTTTCTTTAAGGTCATTCTTGATGCCCTAATTATATCTTTTGTCTAGTCTTCCGTATGCTTTGTGTTCACTGTATTTTTCAGCATGGCTGCCTGTGGCAGTTGGTACCAGGCATTCTTGTCAGATGGCCGAATCATCTCAATTGTTGTTCTTTACTAAACTATATGACTGATTTCAGACCTAGTTATCTTCTCATTTCTACATTTACAATGTTCTCTTCTTATTACTCCTGCAGTTCTTCTGCTAGCAACATATAATAAAACTAACCTAAACATGCTAGCAACAGATAAAATTATTACCTTTAACTAGCCCAAACATGCTAAAACGGATAAAATTACCCTTAATCTAGCCCAAACAATGCTAGCAACAGATAAAATTACCACCCTTAACCTAGCCCAAACTAGCAACAGATAAAAACCACACTCAGGTCTAACTCAATAAGGCTAAATGAATGAAAGTACACAGAATATCACAGAGAAATAGACAGGGACATACCTGAACACAAAATGATGATCGTTGTTAGCAATGGTGACAGTGATATCTGGGATGTTAGTGCCCTGGATGTGTGACTCCATTGATGCTCTGTGGGGAAGAAAAAAAAAAAACTATGTCAATTAATCAATCAGCATGTACTATACAGAACATTGCTCTTGACATAGGGGCTGTGTAGTCTTGAGGCATGGTGTCCCCCCCCCCCCCTCCCCAGTGTTGGAGGTCCTGGGTTCAAGCCCCAGTGAAGACTGGGTTTTTTCATGTGGCACGTAAACAAATGCTTGGCAGTTGGAAATTGAAAAAAAAGTAGCCTAACGGTGCTACCCGGGCAAAATTCAAGAGTTTAAAAAAATCTACCTAAAGTACTTCAGGATCTTCGTGGGTGCTATGGAGTTCATGCAGTGCGCTAAGAGAATGAGAGAGCTGTCATCTGAGTCAAAGTTACCTTAGCAATGTTTAAATAACCACATTCAATTAAACATCAAGTTTATTTTGGAAGAAAAAACAAACCAAAAACGAAAAAGGCAGGGGGAGGGGTATCTGAACTTATAATAAAGGTTCAGGACATAGTAATCTTTCACAAGAGACTGCCCTATATCTTACCTGTTCAACAAGTTAAAGATAGCAACTATTGATTAATATAACTGTTCAATGATTAAAATGAGAGTAAAAGTAATTAAAACAGTTATTTCCTTTTCAACCATCGGGATTATAATTAGTATACACAGTATATTTAAAATTACTATACGACCGTCCAGAAATAAAAAGGGAGTTTATAACAATGGATCACAATCTAAATTAAATACCCCCTTGTGGGCACTGGGGCCTCACTGTGTGTTGTGTGTGTGTGTGTGGGGGGGGGGGGGGGGGGGCAGGAGGGGGACCAAGAATAGATCCACTGCCTCCCTAACAAACATGTCGTAAGAGTCACCTAATTATGGGTTTCTTTCAAAGTCGGAGAGCATCTGCCTGAGAGGCAAGGAACAAAAAGTCTGCACACAAATAATCAACATCTGTAAAATGGATGTGCACTCAAGTTCTGGAACAAGACTGAAGTCCAGAAGTGGACGATCAACAAGAACTTGCTGTCAGAGTCTGCAGCCAGTGAATGCAAAGAAGAAGCAGAAGATAATTACAATAGAGGATTAGATAAAATGATGTGCACGGTTCATTTGTTAACTGTGAAACACACACAATGTCAATATATGAAATATGAATGCCTGACCTCATGGCGTTCTTCAGCAACTCCCCAAGGATGTAGTCTAAAGGTGGCTGGATATAAGGGAAAGTGCAGTTCACGTGGCCATTAACTTTCACATTTGGGGAGGCTCCGTATTTTGCTTCACAAATACTCCTGTTTAAAAAAAAAAAAGCAAACAAATGTCAATAAGTATTGCATAAAAATAAAAACTTGTATCTACTGTTTTTATGCACTCTATCTCAAACATCTTCCTGTTTCCCTCATTTGATTCATAGACTACCCAAATATTCTCCCACTCAAAATTTGATTCACATAGTGCACTCATTTTTTTTTTCATGTCTCCTCTTCTGATTCACATATTGTACACATATATTCTCTCTCGGTCTCCTATTCAAACATTTGATTCAATGCTATGTGTATTTGCGTGTGGTACATGCATCTATGTGATGTGTATGTATATGTGGTACATATATGTGTAGGTAAGGTGTGTGTGTGGTTAGTGGGGGGAGGTGTCGATGAGGTTATGTGGGTGGGTGTGCGCGCGCACGAGCACACATTACATATTCCCTCCCTTTCACTCAACAATTTGGTTCACATAAAACATTCTTCCCTCCCCCATTCAAGCAAGTGACTCGGACAACAGCCATCAATTGATATTAGTGATCCAGTTTCGTCCTTTTTAGGACGAAATTTGTTGTTATTTGAAGCCCCACCCTGGCTTTTGCCAAGGGCCGCAATATAGGCAGGCCATAAATATGGCCAATTATCTGAACACGGTTTCTGGGACCTCTCCACAGTGATCCTCATCCACATGGTGGCACTTTGTGTCATCGGGTGTTTATCGCTTGTGTGATGTCCTGGTGGGGTAGAAAGTCAGTCAGTCAGTCAACAGCCATCAACAGTTGCCTAGACTTTTCATACACTCTCTCACAAACATTTCATTCTACACATGCACATTCCCTCAGACAATGAGAATAATGCTTTATGGCGCATACATTCTCCTCTCCTCACACATCTGATTCCCACATTCTCCATAAAAATAATTCTTCTCTCCTTTAACACAAACACTTCATTCATAGATTCAACACATACAGCCCCCCCCCCCCCCCCCCCCCACCAATCATCCACACAGAAAAAAACATAATAAAGAGATGGCTGTACCTGATAAATTCCGCTTTTTTCTCTACAAGCTTGCGTGGAGAAAATGTAATATTGATGATGCCCACATGATTCGGCTGAAAGAAGAAAAAAATCCTTCAATGATAATAACCTCAAGTTTTGCATGTAGATATTTTGAGCCTTTTTTCTGCATTGCTTCTTAAAATAGGGTGTTGGCATGCTGTCTTGGGGTTTACAGCTAGGCTGTGATACTTGTGCATTTTGGCCCAACACATCCAGTTTCAGCAAATCTTTAGTTAACTGCCTTTTATGACATGCTTGTTAAAGAGCAGTGGATTCCTTCCATCCACCCACCACCCAAAAATGGGATCCTCAGTGGATTCCTTCCACCCACCACTCACAAAACGGATCCAGCAACCACACGGATATTTGAACACTTCAACATTCTAAAAAGAAAAGACTGTTAGATATTATGTCATGAAATATAAAGACAGGCTGTGCATTATGTCTGAGGAAATAAAAACAGACTGCACATTATGTCTGAGGAAAAAAAAATACAGACTGCACATTATATCTGAGGAAATATAAAGACAGACTGCATATTATGTCTGAGGAAATAAAAATACAGGCTGCACATTATGTCTGAGGAAATATAAAGACAGCCTGCACATTATGTCTCAGGAAATATAAACAGACTGCACATTATGTCTGAGGAAATAAAAATACAGGCTGCACATTATGTCTGAGGAAATATAAAGACAGCCTGCACATTATGTCTCAGGAAATATAAACAGACTGCACATTATGTCTGAGGAAATAAAAATACAGGCTGCACATTATGTCTGAGGAAATATAAAGACAGCCTGCACATTATGTCTGAGGAAATATAAACAGACTGCACATTATGTCTGAGGAAATATAAACAGACTGCACATTATGTCTGAGGAAATAAAAATACAGGCTGCACATTATGTCTGAGGAAATATAAAGACAGCCTGCACATTATGTCTGAGGAAATATAAACAGACTGCACATTATGTCTCAGGAAATATAAACAGACTGCACATTATGTCTCAGGAAATATAAACAGCCTGCACATTATGTCTGAGGAAATATAAAGACAGCCTGCACATTATGTCTCAGGAAATATAAACAGACTGTACATTATGTCTCAGGAAATATAAACAGACTGCACATTATGTCTCAGGAAATATAAAGACGCCTGCACATTATGTCTCAGGAAATATAAACAGACTGCACATTATGTCTCAGGCGACTAATCAGGTGTTTTCTGAAATTGATTGTTTTGCGCCAAAAGGTGCAGGTATCGCAGCCTAGTTCCAAACCCCAATATAATGAGTCTACTATCCTTTTAATGGCAGACACAGAAAAAGAAGTTACCCTAAACATGCGCAGGCACAAACACAACCAATGCCATTAACTAGACTTCTTGGAGACAGGCCAGTGCAGCACTGCCAGTTAAGCGTCATTTAAGAAATTGTGTCACGGATAGATGTTCTGGGTAAGAGGCTTCTCAGGGTGAAAAGGTTAATACTGCATGACCTAGATAAAGAATCTGGCTGAACAGACAGGCCTCAAACATGCAAATGTCAAGTCTATTTTCATGACCAATAGAGACAGAGGAACTGATCTGATAGTCAAAAGCAACTGGTGATCCAACAACGTCACTGTTTCGGGACAAATACCCAATAAGTGTTAAATGTACCAATAATTGTACCAATAATTGTACCAATAATTGTACCAATAATTGTACCAATAATTGTATCAATAATTGTACCAATAATTATGCCAGAATAATAGTTTATACAAGTTTTAAAAAAAGTAATGGAAGCTTTTTCCTGCCTTCACTGAGGTACAATGTGGAAGAGAAGAAGAAGAAGAAGAAGAAGAAGAAGAAGAAGAAGAAGAAGAAGAAGAAGAAGAAGAAGAAGAAGGCATATTGAGCATACTGGTCTAGTCCAATATTTTAAAGAGCTATCCACACTTAATGGGTGATGATGTCAGCATCACGCTTGCCAGCGGTACTTCCCAGGACATTTACTTGGCACCCGACCTGGAAGCCGGCCTGGCACCCGACCTGGAAGCCGACCTGGCACCCGACCTGGCACCCGACCTGGAAGCCAAACTCATGATTGAAAAAAAAGCCCAGCACCATCCAGATTTGAACACACCTTCTTTGGATCCACAGGCAAGAGTCCAGTTGCTACACAATGGAAGCTCCCAGGTTATAGGGGTACTTTTCAAATTATTATATTCAGATCAGTAACACACATATCACAATCAAGAACAAATATGAAGAACATTAGTGGAAAATATTAACTGAACGTACTTTCTCATCATGAAGGGCAAGATGGTGCTCAGACAACATCCGGATTCCCAGCCGAGAGGTAAGAGTTCGATCCAAGAATGTCTTGATGAGTCCCTCATCCTGTAACATATGATGTTACGATGCTGTATTTACTAGATCTTAATGAACTCATCACACTACAATGTTACACTCTGATGTTACCAATATTTACGTTATACCTCCCAAATATCTTATGAATATACATATATTATGGAACACGCTGACACCATCAGTCTCTGATCCTTCATATTTATGTTACTGTCTCAAATCTGATAAATATACATGATTTTTTTTAGTGTGCATGCATGCACACACACACACATACATATCAGACAGTCTCTGATCACTTTTTTAGTGCGCATGCACACACACACATGCATACACATCAGACAGTCTCTGATCCTACACATATTTAGGTTACTATCTCAAATCTTATTAAACATTCACATTATTTTGAACGCCAACATAAGACTGCCTCCAATCTTACATACATTTATGTTACCATCTCAGATCTGATAAATTTATGCATATCTTATCGATGCACACATCAGACTGTCTGGCTCTATGTATATTTTTATTACTGTCTCAGATCTTACAAATATAGAAATATCGGCTCTCCTTTAAATAACGGTGGCTAGCTGGAAGGCAAAGGCCGCTTAGTCGGAGTTCACTCCCTTGGCTGCAGTGCAAATACGGAGCGGACAAGTCACAAATCAAAAAAGAAAGTGAGGTCGACATGCCTGCTAGAGCTAGACCACGTGCTGCGACTGACAGTAGCGACCGCGGTCTTGCGACGCAAGACTCTCGTAGACCACGCGCTGCGACTCACGTTAGCGACCGCGTTCTTCCGACGCACGACTTAGTGACCGTAGATCTGAGACCTGCGGATCTGTATGTCGTAATGAGCGATAAGCTTTCGTCGTGTCTGTGATGTGTCACCCTAACCCTACCCCTAACCCTACTCCAAACCCTAACCCTACCCCAAACCCTACCCCTACCCCAAACCCTACCCCAAACCCTACCCCTACCCCAAACCCTACCCCTAACCCTACCCCAAATCCTAACCCTACCCCAAATCCTAACCCAAGCCCTAAGCCTAACCCTAGGATGACAGGTAACTTATAATTTGTTTCATTCCCTCTTTACCACTTCGTATTTGCACTGCAGCCAAGGGAGTGAACTCTGACTAAGCGACCGTCGCCTTCCAGCTAGCGACCGTTATTTAAAGGAGAGCCAAAATATCTTACTAATATACACATCAGTCTCTGATTTTAGATTTACTTACATTAATCTCTTTTTTAATGCATACTTTCTTTTTTTAAGTATCCAGAAACCATGAGTTGTTAACCCTTTGGCTCGGTACTATGGATATTGCAACCTTTCAGCCTTAATTCCATGATAGACACCGTAAATCTGGGAGAAATGTGGCTTTTCTGCCTACCCCCGGGTGTGAACCCGGACCACAAGGAGTTTGTCACCCGGTCACAGCGCAGTCCGGTTTAGCCAACTGTGCTAGAGAGCCGGGCTTTAATACATACAAACACACCTTACTGATTACACTGACATGCATCAGACAGTATCTGATCTTACTTATATTTATGTTACTGTTTGTAATCTGACAAATTTAGACAGATCATATTGAACAAACTAAATACACACACATCACTCTCTCTAATCCATGTCATTGTGTTTTTACCTTCTACTCATGTGATACAATTTTTTATATGAACATAGTGTGCTGCTTTTTTAATTCAGTGGGAGTGTGAAAGATTAGTGTTTGAAAGGGCTGAATGTAAGAAGGGTCTGCGTGCCCAGTTTGTGACTCTTTGAAAGTAACCTTTGTTCATTCTCTCTCTCTCTCTCTCTCTCTCTCTCTCTCTCTCTCTCTCGCTCAGTCACTCACTCACACACACACACACAGCTCTCTCTCTCTCTCTCACTTTCTCTCGCACACACACACACATGCATACATATCACTCGAGGTGAGAATAATTACAAGAGCTGTCCTTAGAGGTGGAGCTAACTTCAAATAACAGGTCAGTGGAAGGACTCTAGTGGTGGCTCAGTGGATGCAGGACTAGCAATGGGCTGGTTCAGGTGGGACACTGACGAGTCAGTACAGGTGGGACACTGATGAGTCAGTACAGGTGGGACACCAGTGATGGATAAATCCAGACAGGACTTTAACAGATGCCTCGGTAGGGTTTCACCGAGACAGTTAAAATCAAGTTAAGGTCACTAAAACTGCTATGTGACCTATTTTTGTGAAAACCAGTAAGCATAATGAGCCAAACGTTGATAATATGAGAATTGTACGCTTACGCTAACATATTTCCGGCACTCTGCAAAACCCTCTGCCAGCTGTGTGACCACATCCTTATGATCATCAAGGAGATTCCTCAATGCATCAGACCATTGCTGCTCTTGCTCCATGTCTCTGATCTGTGATGAGGAAATTTTAACATTGAACACAAATATTTGCAGCAACTTATCTTTTTTCATCTGTCTTCCTGTTGATGAATATTCATCAAGCGGAAGACAGAGAAAGATTGTGGGTTTTATGCGTTAATGCTTCCATTAATACACCTCCATGACCCTAAGGAGTCAGGGGTTATGTCATTATGTTATGTATCTTAACTGCTTATTGTTGAAAGAAATCAAAGACAAGTCATGTGTTCATGTGTGTGCATATTTGTGTTTACATACACACATACTCATATACATTATATATATATATATATATATATATATATATATATATATATATATATATATATATATATATATATATATATATATATATATATATATATATATATATATATAATAGCATACAGCGATTTTTTTTTTTCTGGTGGTAAATGGTAGAGGCACCTTTTTAGGCACAATTTTATCCGTGCTACTGAGTGGAGAGTGCCAGTATCTTTTTTAGACACTATGGAGTTATAGCACAGGTTTTGTTTTTAAACGAAAAAAGCCCAGCGCGCGCGTGCGTGCGTGAGTGTGTGTGTACACACACACACACACATATTTTAAATAATGGATATATGGTGTAAGTATATCACTATGACTTTTAACAATTATACTTAGCATTCTAAATTCCTCGCCTCAGTGAATAAAATGTTTTCGGTACATAAACATCTGTATCCAGAACAAGCGAGCATTTCATGACGTCTCAAGTATGTGAGATGGGGAAACTTTTCCTCTATGTTATTTACCGATGCACACAACAAGTGTGTGCATATTTGTGTTTATCGTGTAACTCATATTTGTACAATTCCATGGGGGCCAAGCTTACATTGTAAGCAATACGGCATCTCTGTGGTGCAGTGGTTAAGCTATCTGTCTGGTGCTCTACAGGTGGATGGCTTTGTTTCAAACTCTGTCCCTCAGTTCACAACTGCAGGTCTTTTGAAGATCTTGTGGAGCAGCTGAAGCTATGGAGTTTCTACCTCTATGTACACTTAATTAACCCATGATGCGTGAATCAACCTATTTGCTAAATCCCCTCCTTAGCTTAATTTGTTCTCTTACATTTGTTTTTTGGTCAGAACATACTCAAGAAATCTAGCTTGTCCAATGTTCACAACTACTGTTATATTACCACTTTAATAGTAATTCACAGGTACATTTTAATCAAGCATAGTTCTTCACTGGCATATTGAGAGAATATCAAATGACAGAGAAGTGAAAACTGTATACACAAGGGAGATGAATGGTAATAGACCTCAAGGCAGACCAAGAAGATGATGGAGAGATAATGTCCAGACAGACTTGCAAACACTTTGCATTACCAACTGAAAAGAGAAGACCAACCAGAGAGATGAATGGAGGCGGGGATGCTGAAGAAGAAGAATAGTTCTTCATTTTCACATCCTATAAAACCTTCTTCCAGTACTGAAAGAGTTACAATATATTGAACTTGACAATCTAATGCTCCTATAATCGTATCCAATTAATATGTAAGCTTTGCAAAAGGCAGACCAAGAAACACACTGACAAGGGAGCTGTAGAGTAAAGCTAAAAGACATGGGATGAGCTGCATGAAATAGCGTTAGACAGAACCACTTGACCTGAGTTGGTTGAGGGTCTATGCTCCAGCAGGGGATAGAAGGTAGAAGAAGAAGACACAGGCTATGCAAAACTGAATAACCAAAGATAACTGATGGGGCATTCATTCATTTAATTCATTGTACCATTTTATGTCACATAGGGCTCACAGTCTATTCTTCCATTCCACTCTATTCTGTGTTATCACTTCGATATCATGGATGGAATCCAGGCCAGAAGCTTTGGCCTCTCTCATCAACGTTCATTTTAGGGTTTCTTCTGGACATCCACACTTCCTAAATCTACTTCCCATTGTAATGCCTGTTTGGTGATTCTCTGCTGGCTTCTCATGATGTGTCCAGCATAGAATTATCTTCTGTCTTATAACTGTTAATACTAGTGATTGCCCAGACATTTCTCTGATTTCTTCACCTCTTTTTGAATTCATCCCATTTTATGTTAATCATTTTCCTTGGACATTGGTTTTCTGGCACATATTAAAACTAAGATGATGTTAGAATTGAAAATGCATAACTGGTTTACAAACTATACAATTTAGAGTTCCATATGTTATTAAAGCGTCGGAGGCGGCGGCGACAACGACTACTACTACTACTACTACTACTACTACCACCTCTGTGTGACTCTCTCTACAGGTGAACAGCCACTCTGCAGACAGGCTGTGCCAGGTAGAATATTCATTACCAGATCCACAATGGAGGATGGCTTCAGTGCATTCAGTGTTGTCTGTAGAATGATTACATGTTAGGGACCTTAATCTCTTTCTTTCAATGTGCAACTCTCATAACACTAAAGCCACTATCTCTGTCTTCCAAGGATTCATTTGGAGGGTGAATTGGGGGATTAAAAAACAGATCCAGCAACCCCTCTCACCCAACAATAAAATCAAGCAAGATAATGTATCCAATTTTATAAGAAAGCGCTGCAGGAACCACATCGGCCATGACCTCAGAATGGATAAGACAAAAAGACTCCCCTATCAAACCCTCAAATGGACATGGGAAGGGAAAAGAAAATGGAGAAGACCGAGAGTGACCCTGCGTAGAACAATCATTAGGGAATGCTCAACCATGAGCCAAATGAACATCCAAGACCAACAACAGGAGGCAACAAATCACTAGACATGGAGACCTATGACCCCTGCCCTATGTGCCACCCTAGGCTCAAGAGGAAAGACTGAGTAACAAAAAGTAAACTCATCAGAGGTGTTTCCTTCGAAGCCAGAGTGCATTTGACTGAGAGGAAAAGAATCAACAGATAAGCTACATCCGTAAAACATCCACATAAAACTAAAAGTTTTGAATCAAGACCAAAGTTCAAGAGTTGACAAATAACCAGAACCTTCTGTTGGGAGTTTAAATCTATGAAATCTAAAAAAGAAGAAGAGAAATACTTAGAAGTTATCAAAACATTTCAAGAACAAAACAATTAACATGAAAACTTACAGGACCGAATTCACTCAGAATGTGGAAGGCACGTATGTAGAGTTCATGCTGTAAACAAATGCAACTTTTACTGAAACTGAATGAATAAATTAAATCTGAATTACAACAAAACACTACACCATAATTACTAACTTTCTTCTTCTTCTCTTCTTTTCTCTACTCCTGGAATGCCTCGTGGTGTCAGGGCAGGAAGAGATCTCTGGGACGGGCCCTTCTGTTCGTTTCGTATAAAGTACTTTTCAGTGTCTCTGGTATTTGTGCGGTCCACTTCTGCGTGGTCAACCTATGGATCTGTTACTGTTATGTCTGTATAACACTGCTTTCTGTGGTGCCCTAACTGATGCCAATCTTATTACATGGCCACACCATTTCATTTGTTGTTTACCAATAAAGTTGAGTGTTGCTTCTGTGCGGTCTTTTCTTCTGATATCATCATTCCTAAGTTAATCTTCTCCTTGTTACACCTAGCATAGTATTGTCCCTTTCATTGTAGTCAGTTTGTGAGATCTCTTCATTTTCTACTAGCAATAAATAAGACACTGTCAGTTTGCTGGACCAGTCACAGTGTTTTCAAACTTCCTAGAAGGTCACACTTTAACTAGTTAAACAAAACCTTCACTCTAGGATGTCCAAAACTGACCCCGATTAGATGCTGGCTGAAAAATTAGTATCCTGTTGCCTCACTGGTAAATTCAGAAAACAAAATAATAGTATCAATAAACATAACTAGGTAGTGAACCTGAGATTATTGAGGATCATGGTCATAGTGTTGCGGACAGATCCATCATCATGATGCAGCAGGTCCTTTGCAGAACATCGCTCTCATCACGGTCTGCTTGAAAGAAACTCAGTCTCTCGCCAGCTCTCCTGCCTCATTTACTTTAATATTCAAGGAGTCACTTATATTCTGTACCCATTTCCATGTTGGTCGGCCCCAGCTCCTCCTTCCTGGTACCATATCTTCTGCTATTATTTTTTCCAATCCACTATAGTACTTGATATGGACAGATCCATAGGTGCTCCAAAATTCCTCCACGAGCGTTAAATGGCTGATGACATCTGTTCTGTGTTGATAAATCAGGTGTCTTGTCCCCTTAGTGAAATGTCCCTTTCTTGCAGCTCCAGTGTGGCCCCCCCCCCCCCCCCACCAGCCTTGACAGGAATATGGAATCATGCCCTTTGCTGTATTCATCTTCACAGTAAGTAGACATGCTGCACATGGCACTGATGCTTCTGTCCAGCACTGGACCCGACATAGCAGCTACAGTGTCTCCCAGATAATCTGCATGCATGCTCGCTGCACAACCGCCAGCATGCTCAGGCACAAAGATGAAAGGTTAAGCCAGATGTTTTATCCTTGAATGCTGTTTTTCAGCTTGTCTACTCATTGTTCATGTCTACCATCAAACATGCAACACAGAAATGTGAATACATACCACATACAACAAAGTCGGATGACAACCAACTATGAATGGAAGGTTCCGGAATCCATTAATCCTATGAGCTATTCTAACTGGCAACTCCTTGTGCAGATACTGAGCACTTCTCTGTCAAGAAACAAAATATTGTAAGGATATCACAAAAAGAAGGGAAAAAATGCACAGTTGCTAAGGAAGTCATGCAACAGAATTAATGGTTGTTTCAATTTAATGTTAAATTTAGAATCAACATCACAGCACTTTGGACACTCCCATAAGCACTCTGCTTCAGTCTTCAGCAGCCAGCGAAGAGGTCCAATTACCTATGACAATAATTGTCTATGGTACACTACAAACATCAGATTGTATACAGAGAATCTGGACATGTGGATATATACAAGAATACTAACACATTATCTTCCCAAGAAACATGATGGAAGCTATTCCATAAACAAAGAAGAAAAGAAATACTGACATCCTAAAAGATCTGAACATCAAGGAAGATTGGCTAATAAACAGCATCTTGTCTCGGTACCTGAGATATTTTGCCCATGTCAAGCACCACAGTTGATTGGAAAAAAATAACAACAGAAGGCATGATGCCAGAAGGAAGGACAAGGGTTAACCAACATGAAGACGGGCACAGGATATAAGTGGCTCCTTGCGTATGAAAGTACATGAGAGGTGATTAGAGTTTCTTTCAGGCAGACCGTGATGACAGCAACATTTTGCAGAGGACCTCATACATGATGACGGTGAGGTCATATTTTATAGAAACAAAAATAATCAAACTGGAAAGACTGGAAATGAAAAGAGAACGGATGACAGAAATTAAAAGGAGACAAGCAAAATGTTTTAGCAATGCTAAAAGCCATACAGGCACAAAAAAGAAATAATGTGAGCAAGAGGTACAAAGCAATACAAATGGCAAAATAAAAACAATAGCTTGATAAACAACAGTTTTAGAGAATGCACAAATAGAAGACGATACGAGAGAGATACAACCACTGTTCACCGTGAAGACAATACCTGACTGACAGATGGTACTAGAACCGTCTTCACGTATGGGCATTCTGGGCTCTGGCCCTGGGGCCCCCAAGTATAATGGCCCCAAGCTAATCTGTACATGTTAAGACCAATTACATTTCACTCATGTGAGTGGTTATCATAGGGGGACCCTAGCACAGGTGCCCATAATGCTGTTAACATGGCTCTGGATGGTACACTATACACACAGTGGCTATATCATGAGGACTGTTTACAAGCAAGGATTCATACTGCAGAGCAACATAATAATTTCAGTCATTTGTGGAGAAGCTTTAGATACCTTTGTGGATCTGAAGCACAATGTGAATACAACATTATTTTTCTGAAATGGATGGTATAATACCAAATCCATTGTAAAAATATAAATATCCGTTATCAGAAAAAAAAATTAGCCTTGGCTCCCAGGTCAACCCATCCTTAAATAAGTACAAGGCTAGGTCCCGGTAAGTAAAAGTGGCCGGCGTAATGTCCCCACATCACACACAGAGTGCCAATTGGTCTGTAAAATATAGGTCTAGCCCTATATGGTCAGTATGCCTAAAGGCAGAAAAAGAGTCTCTAGGGGTTTTACCCAGAGTGCTGTTATTTTAACTCTATATGATTTGTTTTGATTTGATTCCAGAACCGACATCACAGCACTCGGGGCATTCCCATAAGCGCTCTGTCCCCATCTTCAGCAGCCAGCGAAGAGTTCCGATACTAATGGTGCCAGTAGCTTACTGATTAAACGTCCGTCTTGCCTTTCCTCTGAGCCTCAAGCTTCTGCCAGAACCTCTCGTCACCCCCAACTGCATCAATCTCACCAGACTGTGGTGATCCATCTGCTCCTCCGAACTGTACACGCTCTCCCACAAGGCACCAACCACGTCTGTCCTATCATGTATCAATATTCCACCAAGTTGTGCAGAGCCAGCCAGTCTGTCCGCCTGTTCATTTCCCAACAGCATACCTGTTCTGATCTTCCTCAGCATGCTTTCTGAATCAGTTACAATCACGATGTGTGTGTGTGTTGTGTTCTCTAGCCAGCGGAAAGCTGCAGTGACCACCTCCACCTCCATTATTAAGCTGAATATTGTGGTATCATATGCTAGGCTCTCCTGCACCAAACGTCGACCATTAACTTTTGCTAAGAAGCCCCAAGCACTTCTTTTGCCTCTTGACACTGAGCCGTCTGTGTAAATGATCAGATCCTCCGAGCGAGCATTATCTTGAATAAGTGCTGAATTTCCACTTCTGTGGCACCTGCTGACCAGTCTCTGCATTCCTGGCTCAGCGTGATTATGACTCTACACAGGTCTGACTGCTCAGGTGGCACTTTGACTCACTCCTCTCCTTGCCTAATGTTCTCAAGGATGCAAACCTGCTTGATTGTGTCTTCTGCCTGAGCCATCCATGACCTCCCTCTTATCAGCCGCTGACCCTTAACTGCACCCAGAGCTTCATGCAGAGGGTGGTCTGTGTCTGCAGCTACCCTGAGATATGACTTCACCTGCAGCACCTTGTGCCTACCTGCAACCGTCGGCAAACCAAGGATGTATCGCATACACACCACTGGGGTGTCTCTGGTACAACGCAGAATGAACCGCAAAGCCGCGTTCTGTATGCGCTCTAGTTTGTCCATCTGACTTTGAGACGGTAAGCAGTCCCAGGCTATAATCCACCACTGGCAGGATCAGGTGCTGATATAGTTTGAAAAGCATTCTCTGCTCTATGTCAATTGCAGCCATACTCTTAAGTGCACTAAGTCCTTTTTGGCATCTCATCACAACACTCTCCACATGGTCCTTAAATGACAAGCTCCTTTCAAATGTAATTCCTAGATACTTTAGTTTGCTCTCTCTTTTGACGTCTCTACCATCTATCGTGAGACTTGGGACATTAGTTTTAATGATTCTGTTGTCCAGAGAACACCACAAAACAGACGCCTTTTCCAGGTGGACGACAGCCCTCATTTCTGTACACACTCAGTCACTTTGTCTACTGTCGCTTGTAGCTCCCGAGCTGTTTGTTCCCTCTCTTCCCCCTGCCTATATGCAAGTATATCATCCGCAAGTCAGTATCCTTCCAACTCCTGGTGCTACTAGGCTTGCAATCTTGCTCGTATACACGTTAAAAAGCACAGGTGAAATGGTGGATCCATGTGGCAGTCCTGGGGATAAAGTGCATGGTTCAGAGGTCCATGAGCCCAGTCGGAGAGCAACCCGACGTGAATACAGGACAGTTGCAACCCAATTCACCAGCCATGGACTGACCTCCTTCTCCTTCAGTGCAGTCATTAAGATGTCATATATCACTCTGTTATAAGCATCCTCGAGATCCAGTCCTACCACCATAGTTTCCTGTCTGTTCTGGAACCCTTCATAGACGTCAAAAGCAAAAGTGGCCGCATTTGCCCAATTGTCCTTTCCTGGCCTGTAACTTCCCAGACCTCTTGGGAGAAGCTTCCCTTTTTCCAAAAATTCTTGTAACTTTACAGTAACTATCTTCTCCAAGACCTTCCCAAATCCGTTTTGTAAGGTGATGATTCTAAAGCCACTAAGCTTATAATGATTTTTAAAAGGTTTTGGTAGTGTGATTAGATAGCTTTGCACCCAGTCCTGCGGTACTGAGGCTGTCTTAATACTCTGGTTAAAACTGTTGGCCATCTCTGCCAGGTCTACATCGCTCAAAGCCTTCACGTGACCATACCTGACACCATCAGGCCCTGGTACAGTGTCTTTTGCTTTTTTCAAAATTTGTTTGATATCTTCCACTTGTATCATGTCTTCATAATGCATATTCTTCAAGGTGCCAGCTAACTCCTTTCTAACTGCATCCCTGATGTCTACATCATTATGATCTGTCTGAGCTATAAACCTATGGAGAAAAGCCTCCCCTTTCTCCTTGTCTGTTGTGACACGCACACCATCGTCTTTACAAATTGTTCCGACTGTCATAGGTCGATCTTTTCTTTGCATCTGCCTTTGCAGTTTCCAGAATTTCCCTAATGTTTTATCGCCTCCCATATCATTCACAAAAGTGTCCCACTTTGCTCTTTTGGCCTCTGCAGCACAGCGCTTGAAACCTTCACCTTATCTTTTTTCACATTCTCCGCCATCTCCACTTCCTCTCATGAGCTTGAGGGTGTATGTCGTTCTTTCTTTAGCTGCTTCACTGCGGCTCTCTTTGCCTTCCATGCCTGTTCTACTTCTGGAGTCCACCATGGGGGCTGTAGAAAATTAGTTCTGGCAGTTCTTTTGCATGCTCCCCATCTGAGGCGTCCAAGTAGGTTGTTGGTCCACTTATACTGGAAGGTCTTGCGTACTTTCCCAACCTTAACCTTACTAAGTTTAAAAATCAAGACTGAACATGGTAAGTGGTCACTCCCATGGTCATTCAGGACAGTCCATTTAACATTTAAAACCGACGACTGAGAGACAAATGTCAAGTCAATGGCTGTGTCTGCATCTCCAGACCTCATTGCCATTCTAGTCGGCCTCCCATCATTGATGCAGACCATATCAGGGTCAACCATGGCCTCTGCAAGAGCAATTCCCTGTCGGTTTTCTCCACTGCTGTCCCATTCTCTGTTCCTCGCATTGAAATCCCCACATATGAGCAACCTATCACCTGGTAACTCCTCCAATTCCTTGAGCCAGCTCCATTGTTCACTTCTGACAAAACAGTCTACCTTGGCATATATATTTATGAGGTTCCAACTTAAGCCACCAATCTCCACCTGTATCCCTTGAACCTCTCGTCCACTGTGGTTCCACTGGCTCAAGTCAAGCACCACATGCTTCACTCCCTCCTTCACCAACAGACCTTGCCCATGTCTCTCCTGTCCAACAGGGTTTATATAACTGACGTACCCCGGGCAATGATATCTGTCTGTATTTAGCTCCTGGAGCATGATGACATCAAAATAAAAAATAAACATCTCCAGTACAGGACCTCTCTGCCTAGCACTCCGACAATTCCAGTATCCTACTCTTACATGATTAAAACTCAATCTCTCCGCTTTTCGCCTTGTTCTCCTAGCAACTGCCCTCCTATTTCTATGCCTTCTTCTCTCCCCATTTCTTCGTGGTCTCCTCCTCACTCCCTCTTCACTAACTAACTCTATATGAACCTCTTATGTAAAAAACTTTTATATGTTTAAAATTATAAATCATTAATATCTTGAGAAGTTGGTAACTGTGGACCATTATTCTGTTATATTTTCAGATATTGGAAAAGACACCTTAGATACTAAACTGGAGAGAAAAAAACATGTCACAATAAGTATTTTGTGATGACTTATGACTTGCTAGAAGGAAGAAATGATTCACTCAAATACAAGACAGCCTAGCGAGAGCCGGGCATTTGATACCTCAACATCCAGCTTGAGAACAGAGGTGGAGGCAGTCACTGCAGCTTTCTGCTGGTTACAGAACATGACTCACACACACATCGTGATTGTAACTGACTCAGAAAGCATGCTGAGGAAGGTGAAGACAGGCATGCTTCGTGCAGAGTGGCATGCTTCACTCTGGAGGTCACAGGTGAGAAGCATTGTCTGGATCTTTTCTCCGGGGTATGCCAGTGTGTGTTGGGAAATGAACAGGTTAACAGACTTGGTGGAATACTGATGAATAATAAGAGGGATGTGGTTAGGACCGTGTGGGAGAGCATAAACAATTCGGAAGAGCAAATAGATCACCAGTCTGATGAGAGTGATGAAGCGCGGAGTGAGGAGGGGATCTGACTAAAACTCAATGCTCGGAGGAAAGGCAGGATAGACGTATAATCAGAATGCTACTGGCACCATTGATATTGGAACTGCGTTGGCTGCTGAAGATGGAAATGGAGCACTTATGAGAATGTCCTGAGTAATATAATGTTAGTTCTTGAATCAATTCAGCTCAACTCAAACATAGACATTCACTTGAGGGAGACATGAATCACTCAAAAGCAGACACGAATCATTCAAATGCAGACATGCATTACTCAAAAGCAGACATGGTCTACTTGAATATGACATGATTCAATCAAACACAGACATGACTGATTAACTCAAATGCAGGTATGACTTGCTCACAGTCAGACATGAACCATTCAAATGCAAGCACTAATTGTTCAAATGCAAACATAAATCCTTTAATTATAGGCAAGAATTACTCAAACAGGCATGAATGACTGAAATTCAAATATATGATGGGGGGCTGCGTCCACCTCGAGGGTAGGAGGTCCCGGGTTCAAGCCAGGGGGAGGGTTGGGATTGTTTCCACATGGACTTCTAGTAATTTCCTCTGGTCTCTGGGTAGTAAGACTGGACACCTGTGTATATTTTGCGAGCATACAAAAATCCCTTGGCAGTTGGAAATCTAAAAGAGTAGCCTAATGGTGCTGCCCCAGCAACATTTTGGAGTTAAAAATCTACTCAAAGCATTTCAGGATCGTCGCCGGTGCAACAGAGTTTGTGCACTGCACTGAGATTCTTCAGACTTAAGCTTTAGTTAGAAGAAGAACGGAGCACCTATGGGTTACACCCATGTGTCATGATGTTGATCCGTTGAATAAACAAATAAATAATTAAATATATGATTCTCCAAAATACAGCAAGTGGCAATGAAGAGTTTACTCACCAGTATATGACTCTGGTCTGGACTTTTTCCAGAATATAAAATAGCTGCTGGAGTCAGACGGACTGATGGCTGTATCGACAACAAACAAACATTACAATTAATAAAGGGAATTAAATGGTATGTCAGATTCACTAATGTGGACCTCAAGGAGATAATTTAAATGAGGGAATTAATTAAGGTGTGAGTCATGGGCAACGACAACAGCTCACAGAAGCCAGCTTCAGGCCTCAGAAATAAGATTTCTGAGAATGGTGGTTCAAGTGACAAGAAGGGACAAAGTCTGCAATCAGACAATATGTCAAGATCTTTTTACCCAGTCCTTACAAACCCGAGTGGATCAGTCACAGTTTCGATGGTCTGGACATGTGTGCAGAATGGGAGAAAGCCACAATGGCAGGCATTGGAGGCTAAGAACCAGGGAACCAGACCTCCAGGGCGACCCAGGGTGCGCTGGAAAGACAACATCCGACAGTCCCTAACTGACAGAGGACTGGAATGGAACAAAGCCAAAAAAGAAAACTGCTGATAGAGATGTCTGGCGATCTCTCTGGCAAACCTCTATACCCCAAGGTAGAAGAGGAGCAACTAAGTAGTAAGAAAGAATTAATTAAGAGGTAAGGAAAATACCCCGGCATTGAGAAAAACATGATATTCTTATTCCTCTTACACTTCATGTCAGCGTCTGTGGCATCGGCATTGCGACCCCGTTTCGTGATGCTGGGATGCCATGTTGGAAACAAGGTGCAGGTAATTTGGCAGCAGACCACCTTGTGTTCGTTTCGATAGTTGTATTGACAACCCAAGTGGATCAGTCAAAGTTACAATGGCTTGGAGGTCAGTATGCAGTATGCTGTGTAGCTGCCTGAACAAGGTTCGCAATTTACATGTGATTGAGGCCCTGTTAGGGTATATTTTCGGCCTCGATAATTTGGGACCGTTATTCGGAGGATAGCCTAATAATGATAATCATGTGTTGAATGATAAATAAATATAACACTTGGAACATAGTCATCGGGACTTGCAGCCTCAGGTGTCTTAAAGTACTCTTCCCTTCCACCCCCTCATGGCATAGCAAGTTCAGGTGGTAACCTCTGCGGCATATTTCCTGTCACCACCCAGTGGCACTGTAAGGTCAGGTGGTATCTGGTTGTGGAAAATTTCCTGTCTTTCCCAGTGGCATTGTAAGGTCAGGTGGTACCCTGGGGTGGAAAATTTTCTGTCACCCACAGTGGCATTTTAATATGAGGTGGTACCCAGTGTGGCATTTTTCTGGTATCCCCCCCCCCCCCCCCCAGTGGCTCTGTAAGGTCAGGTGGTATCAGGTTGTGAAAGATTTCCTGTCTTTTCCAGTGGCATTGTGAGGTGGCAAATTTCTTGTCTACCCCTAAGCACACAAACCCACACAAACATTCTTTATGCTAAAAACACTTTTTTTTTCATTTTGTCTCGTCAACAGTGATGACACTTGGTGAGGCATACACATGCACCCCCCCCCCCCATCCCCAACCACTGCACGCTGTTTGCTATGCCTCTGCCCACCTTCCAAATCCAGTTTAGTGGGGGCTAAGCAGTGGTCCTCAAATAGTGTAAACCGGCTATCTTCCGAATAACGGTCCCAAATTATAGAGGCCAAAAATATACCCTAACAGGGCCTCAATCAGATGTAAATTGCGGACTTCCGGTGACTTAAATTGCGCACTTCTAACGCCACTGCCGAGAGTATCTCCCACGCCACTACGCGTGGTGTGGATTGGGGCTTAACTAGATGGCTGGGACTCTCGAGCAGCAGCTACCGCATCTCCTGCAGCTTCCTTTATTTTATTTGCTCTTGAGTCCCATCTAGTTTAGCCCCACTCCGTGTGGGAGATACTCTCGGCGGTAGCGGAAGTCCGCAATTTACATGTGACTGAGGCCCTGTTAGGGTATATTTTCAGCCTCGATAATTTGGGACCGTTATTCGGAAGATAGCCGTATAAACTTTTTTAAGCTGCAAAATAATAACTCATTATCATTGTGCAATGCAATTAAACAAGGATTGCGCCCTCCCAGATGTTGTCTCTGTTGCCGCGAGCCTGGTCCAGCTGACGTAAACGCCCCCTAAGTCACTTTTATTATTTATTTTTTTTTTTTTTTTTTGGGGGCACAAAATGCAAACATCACCATGAATGAGAGCAGTAGATAAAGTGTGGTAAATATGATACAGTACAAGCACAACCTACCTGCATGGCTGCAGCATCAATAGCACTTTGATAATAAAAGCTGGTTACATTGGTAAACTCCTTCTTTATGTCCCCATTTGGAGCTGGCGTCCTCAGTTCTCTCCTCTTGTGAAAGTCGTCAGAAAAACATCGCATCAAAGCGAGCGTACTTTTATGCAACTTACTGGGCAATGGTCGGAGCGAAGACTGTAGAACCGACATGATTCCGCTACAATTAATTGCGCCAGTGGTACGGCTGGATATGTGTGCAACAATTGACTTTAATCTGTTAACGAGCTCAACACAGCTCACTCCAGGAAACAACTGACTGGAGGAGTCACTGACCGTTCACTATTCACCGTTCGGGCACTCTGTTGGTACTTTCGCAGAGCTCAGTTGCTGCAGTTTGGTTCAAAATTGACTAAATGTCGACAATTAAGTGAGTTTTTCTTACAATGACAAGAAATAAAGTAATCCATCGTGCAAGCGGCAAGGAGAGGCGCCCAACAAACAACAACTCGGAAAATTTCTTCCATCTACGTGTCCTCGTGCCGAACGAAAATAAACGAAACCTTGAACTCTCCAGCCTGCTGCACTCTGATATCACGTGATCACAGACCTGCACTGTAGCGGTCGTCCATTGACCTGAGGGCGGGAGATGTAAGACATTACACATTTTCTGGACAGACTTTGTTGGAGATGTGAGACATTACACACGTTCTAGACAGACTTTGTTGGAGATGTGAGAAATTGCACGCTTTCTGGACAAGACATTACACACATTGTGGACAGGGTTGATAAGGCGTTACACGGTTTCTAGACAGGATTTGTGGGAAATGTAAGACATTACTACTTTCTGGACGCGGGTGTGGGCAATTTAAGACATTACACACTTTTTGGACACGTTTGATGGGAAATGTAAAACATTACTTACTTTCTGGTCAATGTTGTTGATTAATGTAAGACATTACTACTTTTTGTACAGGACTGGTGGGAAATGTAAGATATTAATATTTTCTAGGCGTGGTTGATGGGAAATGTAAGACGTTGATATTTTCTGCAAAGGGTTGGTGATAAATGTAAGACATTGAAACTTTCTTGATACGGCTAGTGATAAATGTAAGACATAATTACTTTCTTGACACGGCTAGTGGTAAATGTAAGACATTAAAACTTTCTGGACACGGCTGAGTGGAAATGTAAAACATTAATACTTTCTTGACGCGGCTAGTGATAAATGTAAGACATTAAAACTGTCTGGACAAGGTTGAGCGGAAATGTAAAACATTAATACTTTCTTGACACGGCTAGTGATAAATGTAAGACATTAAAACTGTCTGGACACGGTTGAGTGAAAATGTAAGACATTAAAACTTTCTGGACACGGCTGAGTGGAAATGTAAGACATTAATGCCTTCTGGACACGGTTGAGAGGAAATGTAAGACATTACATGATTTCAGGACACGGCTAGTGAGAAATATAAGACATTATAAATTTTCTGCAAAGGGTTGGTGAGAAATGTAAGACATTAATACTGTCTGGACACGCTTGGTGGGAAATGTAAGATATTGCACACTTTTTGGACAAGACATTACACCCTTTCCGAACACGGTTGTGGGATGTAAGACATTATATAAATTCTGACAATGTGTGTAGGAGATGTAAGATGTTAACACTTTCTGGAGTGTTCATTGGAGGGGATGGGGTGGGAACAGACTAGAGGAGTAAGACAGTACACACTTTTCTAGAAAAAAAAAGTTGTGAGATGGACATTACATACTTTCTTAACTAGGTTTGTTCGGGGTAGGGGTGGGGTGGAAGATATTACACACTTTCTGGACTACGTTTTTGTGATATTACACATTGTTTTTTACTTTTTTCTTCTGCGTTTATCCGAAGATGTAAATGCGTTGTGTCCGTTTACAGCATGTGTGCTATTTTTGCGTGTTTGGCCGACACATCTGACTTCTGCAGGTATTTGTTGACCCGGTTAGTTTTTCCAGACTCGTTTTCTGTATGATGCGTTTGGGAAATATGTGTGGGATATGTCTGTCTGTCTGTCTGTCTGTCTGTCTGTCTGTCTGTCTGTCTGTCTGTCTGTCTGTCTGTCTGTCTGTCTGTCTGTCTGTCTGTCTGTCTGTCTGTCTGTCTGTCTGTCTAATCTTTGCAATGGATCAACATCATAGCACAAGAAAAGTAGCTTATAAATGCTCCGTTCTACTTCTAACTCAAGCACGAGTCCAAAGATTCTTAGCGAAGTGCACGAACTCCGTAGCACCGGCGAGGATCCTGAAATACTTTGGGTAGATTTTTAACTCAAAATTTTGCCCGCGCAGCGCCGTTAGGCTATTCTTTTCGATTTCCAGCTGCGCGGGGATTTTTTTCCCGTGCGCAACAATATACACGGGCGTCAGATCTTAATACCCAGAGACCAGGGAAAATTACCAGAAATCCACAGGAAAAATCCCAGCCTTCGCCCGGGCCTGAACCCAGGACCTCCAGCACTCGAGGCGGACGCCATGCCTCGAGACCACGCAGCCGCCAAATGTTCAAATTTCCCTATAGAATCTGGTAATCTGGTAATGGTCGCACGAGGCGAGTTTAGCCAATGAAAGCCAGATTCAAATTTAGCCGCAGACATAATAGACGACGCTCTTACCCAGTGTTGCCACTTTGGATGTTTTACATCCAGATTTAAATGTTTTCCCTTGCATTTAGATGGCGTTTTTGACGTTTAGATGGTAGAAACAGGGTGAAATTTGACCTCTTAAATGCTATCATGACAATAACATTCGGCCTAATAAGAGTAGGAAAAGGCTGTCCCACTTATCAGCTCCCTGATTGGGTATTAAAAGAAATTGGAACAGCTAAAGCATACCATAGTCATTTTGGATCTGAAGCTTCAACTTCATCTTCAAGCTAAGTTTATCCTGTGGATCTGGTGAGGCAAACTTCAGTAAAGAGGAGGACATGATTCTATGGGGTAAGTCTTATCAACTGCTATGTAATTTGTTAAAAGTACCAGGTGTTGCAGCAGTTAGCTGAAGATGTCAACACAGAAGTCTGCTAGGATCAGATCAAAGGAATCTGGAATGAATCTTGCGTAGAAGTTCTTGGCAAGAAAGAAAGGAAACATAAAGCATGGATAACACCAGAAACCATTAAACTGATTGAAGATAGGAAAAGTAAAATGGCAGAATTAAACAATAGCAAAACTAGAGCTGCTAAAGCTAGAGCTCAGAAGAATTACACAGAAGCCAACAAGGAAGTCAGGAGGCATATAAGGGCAGATAAAGTGAAATATCTAAATTATCTAGCACAAGAAGCGGAGACAGCAGCAGCAAAAGTAAACCTCAGAGAACTTTGCAGTAACACAAGGAAATTAGTAGGTAAATATAGTCAGCCAACTGGATCAATCAAAAATAGTCAAGGAAAGGTACTTACTAACACTAAAGATCAAATGGACAGATGGGTTGAATATTTTGAAATGCTTCTAAATAGACCAGGCCCAGAGGTTCCCCCAGATATCCAGCCTTTAGAAATGGAACTGGATATCAACTGTAAGATACCATCCAAAGAGGAAATTAGAAAAGCTATAAATCTTCTTAAGGAAGGAAAGGCGTCAGGCCCAGATGGTATCCCAGCTGAAGCCATCAGGACCAACATAAACACATCAACAGAACTGCTACATAGATTATTCAGTAAAGTCTGGGAGACCGAAGAAATACCAGCAGACTGGAGAGAAGGATATCTTGTGAAACTGCCCCAAAAAAAGGTGATCTACAGGAGTGTGAAAACTATAGAGGAATTATGTTGCTGTCAGTTCCTGGAAAAATATTAAGTAGAATTTTTGGGAAAGATTAAAAGATGCTATTGATAAAATGCTAAGAGATGAGCAGGCAGGTTTTCGGTCAAACAGATCCTGTACTGATCAGATAGCCACATTACGTATTATAATAGAGCAAAGCATTGAACTGAACTCACCACTTTACATTGGATTTATAGACTATGAAAAAGCATTTGACAGCATAGATAGGGAATCTCTCTGGAAATTGATGGGGCACTATGGAATCCCACAGAAAATTATCAACTTAGTAAAGGCAATATATAAAGACATGAAATGTCGAGTTCTCATGAGGGAAAGCTAACAGATGCATTTAAAATAAAATAAAAGGTGTGCGACAGGGATGTCTTTTGTCGCCTCTCTTATTTTTACTGGCTATAGACTGGACTATGAAAACAGTAACTGCTAACACCAAGAATGGAATTCAGTGGACCCCTACAAAACAGCTTGATGATCTGGACTTCGCTGATGATATTGCTTTTCTGTCCCATTCACGGAATCAGATGCAAGATAAATTAAATATACTTAATGCGAGATCACAGCAGCTTGGTCTGAAAATCCATAAAGGAAAGACAAAGATAATGAGAATAAATCAGGCAAATAGTGATGTGGTTTCTCTTAATGGCACCCCACTCCAAGACGTGGAGTCGTACACCTATTTAGGCAGTAATGTAGATAAAGATGGAGGAACTGGTAGAGATATTAAAATAAGAATACAAAAGGCAAGAGGGGCTTTCATAGCACTAGGGAATTTGTGGAGGTCAAAAGAAATTAAAAGAAATACTAAACTAAAAATTTTTAATTCTAATGTCAAATCAGTACTATTGTATGGGGCGGAAACATGGAGAACAACCAAGGCAATTACTAATAAATTACAGACATTCATTAACTGGTGCCTGCGCAGAATAGAGGGAATAAAATGGTATGATAGAATAACTAATGTAGAACTTTGGGAGAGAACTAAACAGGCTCCAGTGGATCAGGAGGTGAGGAAAAGACGCTGGCGTTGGATAGGGCACACACTGAGAAAACAGGAGAACAGCATAACTAGAATGTCTTTGCATTGGAACCAACAGGGGCATAGGAATAAAGGAAGGCCAAAAAACACATGGAGAATAGAGCTGGAGAATGAGGTTAGAAAGATGGGGAGGATATGGGGAGAGCTCCATGCAATGGCGAAGGATAGAACGACTTGGCGTGAGTTGGTTGAGGGCCTATGCTCCATTGGGGGATAGAAAGGCAGAAGAAGAAGAAGAATGTAATTAGTGACTCTTTCCATTTGGATGTTTTTTCTAGATGTTTTTTACGCAAATGTAATGTTTTTAGATTTTTTTAAACTCCGTTTTGGATGTTTTTTGTCAAAGAAAAGTGACAACA